GTTTATCTCCAATTATTAAAATAAATGACTACATTTCTATGTGGTACTCCTTTGTGGTACTTCTTTATCTCAATTACTAAACTAAATGACTATTTCTATGTGGCATCCCTTTGTATCTTTGTTCTACACTAAATCGTCATAAATGAAAGACACAATATCTACTATATATATATATATATATATATATTTTTTCAGAACTTAGCGAAACCGTACAATTACTCACGATGTATCTTTCAGAGTCCCAGTCTGAACCATCCCTTGTAATTACGAAAGTTTACTCGACAAAAGGGACGAGAAAAGTCCGTCTTTTGCGCACGTTCGTGGGGCGCCTCGCCGTCTTTCGGAGCGCGTCGATGCGTCGTCTTACAAATTTCTCCTCGCGCGAGCAAACGCTCGTTCGCGCGATCATTCCGTTCTCCCCCGATTGATTTTCCTTTCTTTCTTTTATTATTATTATTACTTTTTTTTGTTTTCTTCTCTTTCTAAGATCGCAGACACTGGGTTCGTTGTCCCCCTTCCCTTCCCCTGTCAGGAGCGAACCCACTCCACTCGTTCGTCGCGAAACGAATCCTCTTTACCCTCTCTGCTTTATACGCTCAAACCGCAACACGCCGCCGGAATCGTCGCCTCCGTGTATGACGCCAGAGCTGGATAAAATACTACTTCGAAAACATCGCACGTTTTTTGCCCACGTCCTCGACGTCGCCTGCAATACGTCCTCCCCACATCCCTCTGTATATACAGCCCCCACGAAGCTTTCCTTTCCTCCACCCACAACTTGAAGATCCCGCAGGAGGTTGTCTCGCTGACGTGAATCTTGTGCAAAACGGAATCGGCGCGCCCGCTAAGAACAACGCTTAACCAGTCAAGTGGCGTTCGTCAGTACGTCAATTATCTATTATTAACGAAACCGCGAGAAAAATAAGAAGGACGAGATGTATGAGACTTGGTCCTTCGATGGTCTCGCGGTCGGATAAATTATATTACTGTAGAAGCCTCCACTATAAAAAGTATCGGTGTGGATTTAATACCCACCATGTATTAATATTAACATTATTATTAATGAACTATTAATCTTAAGACCAACATGTTGTGGATCTTAAATTCCTTTTAAAACTCATGGTATTAATATTAACACTAGAGAAGACTAGATTGCTTTGGCTTCACACCAGTGAGAATTATACAGATACCGCATGTTAAATTCACACCGCTATCTTTTAAAGTGTCAGGGAGTGAAAATTTAATTTGAAAAGATCCATACGCCTAGTCGGTCTTCTTGATTCAAATTTAATCGGTCGAGACTATACGTATTCAACCGCATCATACTTGATATTACTTCACGTGTACTTCACGGTCTATTAGCTAGACCTCGACAATGCGAATTATATGAATCGAATCGATCGAGATCGAGACACTCGCCACTTGACCGGTTAATCGAAATAGTACTTTGCCCACCTCTCTCTGGCGCGACTCCTTTTTCTCTTTACTGCTATTTTCATTTTCTTTTTCTCTCTTTTTATTTCAAAGCAGTTCGAGGTGGAACTCCAAGCGAGCAGTGGCGCCTGTCTTGCTGCAGTAGCGCGTATAACGATTCGTCGATGAAAATCAGTTCCTAGTTTACGAGACAGAGACAGGAGGAGGTTCAGGGTTATTCGAGGGTTTTGAGGAGATTACGGGGGACTAAAGGGCTGCGGGAGGGTCGCTACACGGGATTTGATTCACGGAAGAATATGGGGATGGTGCACCGACGCGGGATTCTCGAAGACGGTCGAGAGAGGATCGAGGATTCGATGCGCAAGTAAAAGGAAGGAACAAATGCCGAAAGGGATAGACTCACCTCCTCGCATAGCGCCAGCATACGTCTCGTGCTCTCCAGAGACTGAAACAAAGTCGATCACGCCGGTTATCACACGTGTGACCCGAGGAATCGCGAATGTGTTTTAAAATTTTTATTTTTTCAGAAGAGCTACAACTTTGCTGTTCTACCTTGTCCCTGATACATTTTCTCGCGCTATGCTAGATTATTTTTCAAGAAAAGGCATTCCCTAAATCTGTGGATAGTCACTGATATCAGTGCCAAGTATGCCACTGATAATCAATGAATGAGATATGAGATCGCTAACCTAGCTAATCTTTATTATGTGATCTAACTAACCTTATTTTAGTGCATAAATTCAATGAATATGATATTGGAAGATTGAAATTAACGTGCAAATATCAGTATTTTAGTTATATAATGCTCAAACATTCTTCCTTTTTTAGTTGAATTTCATTGATTATCCAGTGCCAAGTATGTTATTGGGTAATTAGTGACTATCCACTGATTCAGATTTAGAAAGCAGAAGTACGATTTCTTTTGAATTCCAGCACACTGGTAATTTTGTGCTACAAACATGTACGCTGAGAGAAAAGTATTTGATATTTGTGACTCTAATTGAATGATAATATAATTATGACTAGGAATTTTATTTTTATTACTATTAAAATGTTAAGAATAATAATTATATTTGCAATTCTATCAAAAAATATACAGGTGGCACCGAAAAGGTCTATAAATTATAGTTCAATTATGATAATGGCAATAATTTTTTTCTTCCAATATAATTTATTCGAGAAAATCGATTTCATTGTGTTATTAATAAATTAGTTATTTAAATTAGTTCTTAAGAATTATCAAGGTTAAAGGAATTCTTTGAATTAAAGAATAACATTGATTACTTTTAGAGAAATATATGAATAAAACATGCAATAATGGCTTCGTGAATAAATTATTATTTTTAGCTATTCTGAATTAATTATACATAGATAAATAAGTCGATTCAATAACTCATGTGCTGAAAATTGTGAAAGATCTACGAGATGTTTCTATTCGATAAGTTTCCGACAGCGCAGATACGCGGGAGAGGATTTTACGCTGATTTGTCGCCTTTCTATTGTTGCGAATAAACACGAGAGTTTATCCTCGCGCGATTAAAATCGGAACTCGAAGTTTCAGCGAAACTACGTTGATTTCAATCCCCGCGTCGTAAATCCTCGTGGATGTCACATCGCGTGAATGTATATACGCACATAAAATATACACATACATGTGTATGTATACATATACAATATCAATATATCTCAACTCACTTCATCCGTAGTCTGACCGGCCTTGAGCTGTAACTCCTGCAGTTCGGTGCGGGGCGGGCCGCCCTCGGCCGCACCCGCCGCTGACGTCGGTGCAGGCATCGCCGGCTGGTGATCTGGTGCCTGACAGGGGATTAGATGCCAGGCGACGGTCTTCCTCTTCCTCTCGGCGAATCTGCCTTCCCGCCTACCGGCGCCTCAGGATACCGGTGCGACGATGCGATGGTGCGACGCCGCTTTCTGGTTGTTCGCCGAGACCGGAACGGCGAACCGCTTACCGCAGCCTGCAACACGCAAGCAACGAGCACGAGATCAGACCTCGTCAGTTCCGCGAGGAAAGGACGACGCGGTTGCACGAAGAAGTTTGGATCCCTACGTGAATACGCGACGCGCGGTACCGGACGTGACGTTCGCCAAGACCTGGCAAAACGGAAATGCCGTCCTCGTGGAGTCACGTCTACCCAGAGACCATCCTCTCCCCTCGGAGACAATGAGGAACAGGGTGGGAGTGACAACGTCACGTCGGAGCACTGTCTATTGGAACTTTTCTCCTTCAGCGACGACCGCGCGATGGCAAAACCGGTAACGAATGAACGAACAAATGAATCAGGGAACTCGAGATAATGTCACCTTTCTCGAACGAGATCACGAATGGAAGCCCTCGCGAGGTGACGACGAGGTAGCCTGGAGGGTACCATTCGACGACGACGCCGGGGAGAGACTTTGCGGAATTCCGCGGGCGGATTGGCAGCCGCGCCGCGGTGTACCGGTCGTTGCGGCAAATGTATGTGTGAATTTACGTGTGTATACTGTGTACGTGTATGTGTGCGGTCAGCGCGTGTGCGCGCGACTGCACACTCACACATGACGACGTGGAAAATCAATACCCCCGACCGACCGACCGACCGACCCACCGACGATGGCGTCGGGACGCGCAGACGCGACGCGGCTCTCGTCGTCGTCGTCGTCGTCGTCGTCGTCGTCGTCGACGTTTGTTCGTTCGTTCTCGTCTACCCTCTTCGGTTGACTCCTTCAATGCCGATGTGGCCGGCGCGACCAGGACAAATGATCAGCTGGTCGGACTGAGTGCGGGCAGGTCAAGAAACAGAGATGCGTTTCCCGCCGCGAATTACCGTTAGAGTGAGATAAAAGAGCGTTTTTAATGAGACTTTTTAGGTGGAAGATTCGAGTAAGATGGAGGAATGAAGTTTTCGATGCTCTTTTAGAAACACGAAGAGAGAAATGCTTAATATTAAAATATCAAATATTTCAACTCTTTCGAAATATACGTTCTTTTTTTTCTTTTTTCAGTTTTTTCAATTTTAACATTTATTGAAGTGAACATTATTTTTTTAAAAGCCGTTACCTAAGCTTAAACTCTCAAGCTGTAAGAAATTGACTAATCATAATCGATTATTTTTCTCATATTCGACTGTGATTGATCAATTTTTTGCGGCTTAAGACTTAAGCTTAGGTAGGACTTAATGGCTTATTGTAAAAAACATATTAATTTTAATTCTCAATGGCAGAGAAGCTTTTTAATAAGAATTCGCAAAAACTAATGATAAAAAATTACTTTAACCTTTAGAGGCAGGGATCTATTTTCACAACCTTACAGAACTTTTCCTTGAGCAAGATTTATTATAATTCATTATTTTTATTACAGTCCCCTTGTCTCAAAATGTAACACTGTTACAGTGTCACTTTAGTGGCTTTCTTATCTTGTAAGGGTTAAATTGAATATTTTTTAATTGAATACTCAAAAAAAGAGATAAGCTTGTTCTTCTAAAAATTATCTAAAAAAAAAGATCGATCGAAAATATTGAAAATAAAAAAAATATATATATATAATATATATATAAAGATCTCTCTTATACGGATCAATAGAAGTCGTAGTCCTCGTAGGATCTTAAATCGTAGAAAATTGACTAATCGACGATTATTCTTCTCATTCGACTATGATTGGTTAATTTTCTACGACTTAAGACCCTACGACTGCTACGACTTTTGTTCTAGACTTTTGTTCTCCGCATTACGTATTCGAGATTTAAAAAATAATCTTACGATATTACAAACGGAAACAATTGATGTTCAAATATTAAAGTGCTTTTACATAACTCGTAAATCGCAAAACGAAGTTCGCAAATGCAGAGACAGAATAAAGATTTGCGTTTGTTTTTTCATCGCATACAGTTAGTTTTCATCTATGTGTGTTTTGCGTGCGATGATCATCATTCTGTTTCAGCATTTACTCAGCACGAACTACGTTTTGAATTTGCGAATTATATAGAGACATCCTTAAGGTCAACAATTAAATCAAATACGGACGTCGGACACGCACGATCCAACCGACCAATAACTATCCCAGTGAGAGGTGTAAGTTCGTAACGACCACCCTCGCAAACCGCAGAGAATTCCCAAAAGGCTTGGATCTGTGACGCAGAAAACCGCAAGATTCGTATCGTCCGATGTGGACATAGACAAGCTCTATCTTGGGAAAACACTTCCGAAATACGATCAGAATGAAATCACTAATTTGTGATTTCGGATCTGTCTGGAATAACCGTATCGAGGTGCAATCTAGAATTTCTGTGTGAGCGAGACGCATTATTTACAAAATAGATATATTGTTAAAGGGACACGGCGGAAAATGAAAATAATGACAATACAATGACTAACACGGCCTGTTATTACGAGTACACCAGTGGCAATGTAACGGATGGCAGCGTAATCTATTGGCCGGCTTTGTCCTTGCCCTCGAGGAAGTTGGCGAGCTTCCAGGTTCAAAGGTACCTCGTCGTTGGACCGATCTCGGCGTCGCTCGTTACGATCACAAACGACACAATTGGGAAACCAAAATAGAATCAGCTCACCGGTAACTGTTAAAGCCAATTAAACAAATTCAAATAATTGCAATAGTAAAATTGACTTTTTTTGTTGAAAAATTTTACGCGCAAATAAATAATGTAAATGTGTTCGAACAATAATTTTAATTCTCCGCCAAATTGAGGACTTTAAGGGGATCTTAAAGCCATCTGTATTATTAAATCATGTAATTTTTGTATAACAAATATTTTTTTTTCTCTTTCACAGATTCAAAAAGCCTTTTCCAGAATTAAAGTATACGCATTAATACGTGGTGTGAGGTGAAGTTTATGCCGAGAATGACCAAAAATTTCGAAATTGATACATTTTTCATTATTTCTTGTGGCGAATTCGATTGGAAACACTAGACAGTGCGTCCAATCGAATTCGCTATTAGTGTAACATGCCGTCTCAAGCTGTCAAGTCGTGATAACATTTACTTGATACGAAAGTTTTGCAACCTGTACTTACAAAATAGTAATCCACAAACATGTAGTTTGAACAAATAACGTCGAGTTCTTAGAATTAGACTTAGATGCTTTATCGCGATAAATTTGTTGTACGAAAATTGACACGAACATGTGACTTCGTGTATTATAGATTGAGATATTGATGTGATAGTATATAAAGACATGTCGGTGCGCTGGAAAAATACCTCTTGTAACTTCAGCTCAGAATTCGAGCTTCATTTTAGGATCCCTTTAAAGTTAAGATTGCCGTACAAATTTTCGAAAATAGAACTTATCGCCAAAAACAGTTTCACACTAATTTAACTTGAAGAGAAAGAATTTTCTTTTCGTAAAAATATTAAAAAAAATTTCCCTCATCTGTATAGAATTTTTATATATTTAGATATTTTACTCTCAAGAATCTTTTAGGCCGTTATTATTTTCAGTTCGCGTCTTTACTTTAAATGATTTAAAACTTGCAGTATTCAAACTGGAAAAAAATATTGTAAAAGAACAACGAGACCTTGATTTTATCTCACCGTTTCTTCTAGTTCCAGGTATACGGTTCACGAATTATAATAACAGCAAAACGAATATAGATGCAACAAACGAGGTCAGCAGACTCCAGGTTTTTCCATAACTTACAAGAAGAAAGGGGGATCATTCACGCAAGCCTGCGGTACTCGAAGAGGCGATCCCCAAAGGATTATGGTAATTGGTGCATGATCGCGGCGTCACGATAGGACGACGTCATTCCTGTAACCACCCACGACCTGGGTGATAGGAACACGCAAGTGGGTGATGGAGGATACTCTAAATGACACGTGTGCGGTCGATCGTGCCGCAACGTGCAACGACGATGCAGCTATCTGCATGCACTTGCACCAGTTTGTCGTACTGCGTTGCTGTTAGTGCTCGGAGCAGGAAAGAGAAGAGGAAACTCACGCACAGATAAAACTCGCGATAAAACGACAAAAATAAAAGTCAAATGGTTTATCCGACTCGTTTGACTCGTTTGACTCCAAAGAGAGAAATGAAGAATAGAAGGATTTTAACAGGTTTTTATCCGGTATTCGCACGATGGAAACGAATCGCTTTCGACGGTTACAGCAGATATATCACGAGATGGATTTTATTACGACAGTTATACTCGTCGTTATACATAAATGTTACAAAAAGTGCTATCTTTTTGTTAGATAAAATTTTTTTATAAAAATTGATGTTGAAAGTAACGAGAGTATAATAACGTCGTATAACATTTTGTAGTGATATAGATGGGATTTATACCGCAATAAAAGAGAAACATAAATCTTATTCGTAAAAAAAGTCAACACATAACTACGATAACGTTCATAATCGCGGCACGTATTCGTCATGCAAATGGAACGATGACGAGCGAGAAAGAACGGAACTTTATTTTCCGCTGCTGAGAAAGTTATTTCCTTCGGAACGAAATGAAATTGCACAAGGGCGCATTCCTTTTTTCGTTTTCCTTTTGGAAATCCGCGTTCCGACGCGGTGGCGTGTGATTGCCACACTACTTTTTAATTTGTCTAGTCTGGCAGTTGACAGACAACGAAAGTTCATGCGTGTCCTGTAGTTTCAATGAGCATCGATCTATCTAGTTGCGCAATATTACTAAAGGTGAAATTGATATCTAATCGCAATCTTCATTTTGTCACGCACTGCTGATGCAATCGGAGCATAAAAAAATCACATTGTTCCTCACCGTTTATGTTATAACAGAAAGAATATTTATAGAAAGAATATTTTTGCGAAGAAAGTATTTAAAAATTTAGCTACACTGGAAAAAATCCTAAATTTAAAAAATTATTTGTTTGAATAATTCTAAATAAATATACCAGATGCAAACATATATTCATTTAATACAAAAATCATTAATTTGATTTAACTATTATTTTTTAAGTAAATATTTATTTACAAAAAGTAAGCGTTTTACTATTATTCAAAGAAATATGTATTAAGATTAAGTAATTTTGTTCAGTGTGATTCAAGATCTAAAAATAATTATGTTAGATTATCAACAAAATAATTATGTAGAATGTTCAAGCTGATTGTAAAAACTGTTTAATTACACTTAGGCGTCCTACACAATTATTTTGGTAATAGTCCAATAAAATTATTTCCAAATCTAAATCTAGCAAAATTTTAGACACATTTCAATAAAATCGGTCTTTTCATTTTCGTTCCACATTTTTCATCAAATATTGGAATTAATTTATTTGCACGGAAACAGAACCAGCAACGATATCTCTAACTATATACAAATTGACTTTTTCTGAAAAGCGCAATCTATTGCGTGTTCTACCATCGCAATTATTTTTAACGAGTCATGTCGTATTTAATCATAAATCGATAAATTCCATTGTAATATTTTGCTAATAACCCTGGAAAGACATACACCGTGTTTACCTCGCGCGATATTGTCAAAAACAGCATCAGAGGAGTAACAGTGGAATATGGCAAGGGAGTGAAATTATCGCGGTAATTATATTTGCGGTAGATCCCGCCCGCAATTTATGTTTCCCCTGCCCTCCCCTCAGTCGTTTATTGCCTACGTACGTAACAATAGCTGGTAGCTTCATTGTGTATGGGAGTGATATAATGGGTCGAAAGTATTGCACAAGTTTAGATGCCGAGATAGATACGGGAGCATCTCTACAAATACAAAAGGATGAAAATGAAAAAATCAATATTTTTATATCTATTCACACGCGCGTGCACGTGAGTCACCCATATTCGTGACACCTGTAAGAAGAAACGGCACGTAATGTGAAATAAAGGAGAAAAAAGGCAACCGCAATCATTTTCTTACTCACGAACTGTAAATAACAAGATATTCAGGATACAAAGTCCTCTGTCAAATTTACATAGAAAAAAACATTTCTAACTTGTGTTGGAAACGGTTCACTCAGATCCTTGTCAAAATTTCGTGTTAAATTTTTAACATATTCGAGTATTAATTTATAATTTGATTATGTTATCTAAAAAGTTTGTGTTAAATTGATATGCAACATTTCTTAGAATCAAAATAACACAATTTATGCGCAAATGAACAAATAGTATAATATAAAAATAATGTATTTTAAAACATAAATTCTAAGATGAATGAATAAAATATTAATTTAACATAAATATTTATTTCACAAAAAAATATTTTCACGATTTGTTTACAAATTACGTTAGTATTACGTTTTTGTATTTATTTTTCATAATATAATAATATTTGTGTGTTATATATCTAGCATATTCTAGCATATTCTTGTATTAAATTAACACATAAAGTGAATCATTTGAGACACGTAAATTGTATTAAATATAACACTAATTTTCCAACCGCGTACTTACAATAGTTAAAATTAACAGTTTCTCCGTCGTTTTCTCCATCGTTTTCATTTTGCGAAAATGAATTGTCTCTATTTTAACTTGAACTTTTGTTTCACACACTTTAAAAAAAATATTTTATACAGTCGAGGAAAATAAATAAACAGAGATGTAAATAATAAAGAAATTTTTTTTATAAAAAGATATTTCGAAAAGTAAAAAAATTCATTTTTTGTTCTAATACCTTCAGGTAAACAATTTATCTACTGGATAAATAAAAGAGTAAAAGAGTAAGAGCATAAAAGTGAAAGAGAGTAAAAAAGTGAGCTGAAGTTTACTGAAAAATGGAACAATCCAGCCGTAATATTAAGGAAGCCTCGTTTTATTCTAATTTCGGGCCAACAGCAAACACAATTTACTTGTAAGAGTATCCACGTGTACAGTCCTATGAGATTTGATATTGTTTACTTGTAAGATTACCTTATGTCAACAATCATTTAAAATTAAACTGCCACGTGTATAACGCACAAAGGGACCAGAAATTATTTTTATCTGCATAATATGCATACTTTATCTCATTTCCATCGCAAAAAATGCATTTCCATTGCATGTTTAACTTAAAAGCGAGTCTGCAAAAACAATCTCTCAATTAATAATAGCTGTAACGTAAGTAAGTTACGCATAATTAACATAAGGATAATAATAACAGTTTCGTAAAATAACAATAACGAAACAATCTCGTAAAATAATAATAACTGTTAATTTTAATTATAAGCGGATTCAAGCATGCAAAAGTGCATGACTTTATGATCTTGAGTTGGCTATAAATCTCACTTGCTAATTGATCTCGCGAAAATGTATACCGAATGAAGCCAGAAAACCAGTCAGGATACTCGACAAAGGTCAAACTTAAATCGAACTCTGCAGTACCGTTGCGACTTATCAATAATGTGGGTGGGAAGTAGGGATGAACGATATTTTAAATATCAATATTTCTGAACTTTTTTCGCAATAATTTGTCTCTCGATATTGAACAATCTACCGATATTTGAACAAAAATATCGAATTTCCGATATGGGATGTTCCATTTTATGCTTACAGCACTTGTAAGCAATATCATTTGTCTTTATTTAATATTTAATAGACAACAAGGATGAATTTATGTTTACAACGTGTGAGCATAAAGACGAAACGCGCTCCACGCCCTCTATTAATTATGTATAAGCGCGTGTTAGTTTAGTACTTATTAAAATTGGATTGAAACTTTCATTACTTATCAGTAGGTTATACTCATTACTGTAAGAATGTATAAAAGATTGGAATCATATATAATAAATAAATATAATAAAAATAAAATGTGTGAATGTATATATATATATATATATATATATATATATATACACATGTATATATTTCAATTAGTACTATATATAATATTTATATATAATATATTAGTTTTAATAAAAATAACAATTAAAAAATTCTGATTAGAATAGTTATTCAAAGAATCGATGAAATAGCCTTAAAATGATTTGCAACCGTTATTTTTGCAAAAAGATTGATTTTTTGTGCATCGATATTTGCGTATCAATATGCATATATGCGCGTATTGTCTAAAAATAAAAATATCGATAACAGCAATATTGCACATTATCCAACCAATATTTCGATGTATCAATATTTCTGTTTACGATATATTGCGATACGAAATATGGAGATTTTTTTCTATATATGTCGCCCATTCTTAGTGAAAAGGTCAAATTTAAGAGTAACAAGGAAAATATACGTTCTAGATAAACAGAATTACGAGTGAGATTTATAGACAAAATATCGAACGTAATAAATTCTGAAAGAAATAATTTTTTAAAATGTTATAATGTTCTTTGCAATTAAAAATCCTTTTTATTCTAGATTTTTTAAAATATTTTCTGTTATCCCACGTTAGACAATCTGAAATTTATGCTAGAATTTAGAATATAATTACATTTACAAGTTTACGTGCAATGTTACATATTGAAAATCATTGAAAAATTAAAAAATGCGTGTATGTAAAATATATATTAACATTGTATGTACACTATTAAACACTGTAGTAAACACTGTAAATGAACTAGTAAATTTAATCTAAGTCGTTTTTATACTAAAACAACGAATAATTTGACATTATAGATTTAACAAGGGATAAAATTAAAATTATTTTCAATTAAAATTGAAATTTAATATATATATAAAATACA